CCTAATACTACACAAATAACTACAGGCAACTAAGAAATGATGAGAGATGTAAAAATAGTCTTCCCTGAGAAAGAGCACACCAATTGCTATCCAATATCAATAGTCAGCCCTAAAAAAGTAATATAAGTACATTATACAGAGTAAGAAAATTATATTAAAGAATATATATGCACATACACATACATATATCCAATCAATAATAATTAATGAAAAAAGAGACTATGAATTTGAAAGTGAGAAATATGGTGGAGGATTTGGAGGGAGGAAGGGGAAGGGAGAAATGTAATTACATTTGAATCTCAAATGGAATTAGCCTAGATATCCATGAACTGATGAATGGATAATGAAAATGTAGTACACACAATGGAATTCTATTTAACTATAAAGGTAGTGTGCACACCTTTAATCCCAGAATTTGGGAGGCAGGTGGATTTCTGTGAGTTTGTGGCCACCCTGGTCTACATAGTGAGTTCCAGAACTGCTAGAGTTGCTACACAGAGAAATCCTATCTCAAAAAACAAAACAAAACAGCACAGTGAAGTATAAAATATAATTTCAGCATTCAACTTGATAATCAAAAGTAGAATAACAGAGTGATCCAAATAAAGTTAGAAAAAATTGATTAATGAAATTTATAAAGCAGAAACTGAATAGGAAGAAAAAAAGAATTGACAAATAATCTCAAAAGATAGTTGTTGCCAAAAAAGCAATAAAATTAGGAAATGTCCTGAATTATTTTTAAAAGGAGGGAGAGAAAAAGAAGAAAGGATGTAGAGGGAGAGAAAGGTCAAGAATGACAAAGGAGATATATAAGTACAGACATTACTTTAATAAAATCATAGACTAGTTTATAATTAAGTTTCAATGCCTTATAAAATTAAAGTATAATAGATTTCTGAAGAAATAGAAAAATTGAAATAAGTCAATGACTATTATAGTACTGAGGAGCTCACTTAATGGTCTAATCTCATCAGATAAACCAGAATCCCTTTATGAAGGTGAAAAGCTTCTGATGCCATGGCAAATCTTATATGCATACTTCTGAGAATTTAACTGTTATAGTTCTTTCTATGGAAGGTTGGGGTAGACCAAGGGAAATTCTACTTTTTCTTTCCCATGCTCCTTGCCTCTTCACTGTCCCTCATCCCATCCTTCTCTCTAAATCACAGTGGCAGCATGCAACAATGAATCAATGAGAAATCAACAAAAATCAACAAATAGCTTAGGTTCTTGAGAAGAAATGGCAAGCAGCATGGTACAAATAATCAGACTGCATGCACACCTTACCTGCAAATGTTTGAAGGACTTAACTAAGTATTAATTTATTCACCCTTGAATAGTGTCTGCACTTTCTTCTAGTCAATCATATCCTTACAATGTTACTTTCAACAGAGCATTTTTACCTTCTGTCCATGTACAGCACATTGAGCAGGTCACTCTGTCTGTAGTTCCAGTACAGTTCCACTGCACCCAGGTAATATCTTCTAGTGGCACTAGAGCAGAAATAAAAAAGGCTCAGAAAGAAGCAAGCGAAAAATGCTATTTGCATGGCTTTTATTACTAGAAAATATTCAAGTAGAGAAGAAAATTAACTCTTCTCTAAAATATCTTTAGTTCTCAAGAAGAAAAATGTAAAATTTTTATGATTTAGTGAAAAGTCCTAAATATTTAGTTAAGAATTTTATGGAAGCATATCGTATGAGAGTGACAGTAGCATTAGCACTAAGCAGAACTAAAAGGATTGCTTACTTTTCAGCCGTTGGAAGCAGGCACAGGAAAAACTGGAATAGGAAAAGGGTGGCTGAGCTAAGGCTTAACCCATTCCCCTCTGAGAGCCTCCAACCAAGTTTGAATCCTTGAGAAAGGGAACAGAATGCTAAAGAAGAGGTTTCAATTGTACCAAGATTCCTAGACTGTTCTAAAAATCTCTCCCTCAGTGCCAGCAGCAAAGAATCTGTACATAGTGAAGATTTGGGAATCTGAATGAAATGTTGAGTAATATATTATTTATGATTCATTAAATCTTGACTGAGGATTCAGAAAGCAAAGTCAGCCTCAAGCTATAGAGATCAGGCAGTGGTGACACACACCTTTACTCCCAGCAGCCAGAAGCTAAGAGGTGGTGGTACACACCTGTAATCCTAGGACTCGTGATTAAGAGGGAGATGGATCTCTGTGAGTCCAAGGCCACCCAGATCTACACAAGAATGAATCCGTTTAAAAGAGAATTATAGCTCAAAACTTTGATCTTAACATTATGGAAGTATGTAAGACAGAAGCAAGGTCTCAGATAGGTGCTTATTCTCCAGCCACACCGAAGAGTAGGAGGCATTCGTTCTCAGCCACACTGAGGAGAGGCAGCAGTCTGAGACTTGGTGAAGAGCTCCTGGGTGGATCAGCCCTTTCAGCCTCAGGTAGAAGTAAAAGCTAGTGGCCAGCTGCTTTGCTTCCCTAATCTTCATCTTGAAGTTTGAACCCCAATATCAGTCTCTGGGTCTTTTATTTATTCATGTTACAAAATGCAAAAGCTTCTCAATAGCAGCTGCCTTTGAGACTCACCAGATTTCAGCCTGCTAACCCCACAGAAATTCTCTAGCTTCCCACATGACCTAGAGACCCAGGTAAGATACCCGTGCCCTCTGTCCTGTTTGTTGTTGTTGTTGCTTTGTAAACTTAACATAAACTGGAGTTATTTGTGAATATGATCCTCAGGTGGAAAAATTTCTCCATAAGGTGGCCAGTGGCAAGTCTGCTTGGCATTTTCTTATTTAATGATTAAAATGGGAGGCCTCAGGTCACCAGAGACAGAGCCACCCCTGGAGAGGTGGTCCTGAGTTGTATAAGAAATCAGGCTGATCAAGCTTCAAGGAGCAAGTCATTCAACAATATTCTTCCATGATTTCTACTTCAGTTCTTGCATCTGTTTGAGTTTCTGCTCCAACTTCCATCAGTGAAGGGTTGTTATCTGGAAATGTAAATTGAAATGAACCCTGTCACCCCCAAGTTGCTTTTGATTATGGTGTTTTATCACAGCAATAAAAACCTTAAATAAGACACCCTCTCTTCCCAAAAAGCTAGAAACAAATTTACCATATGACCCAGCTATATTGGGCATACATCCCAAAAGACTACATCATACTCTAGGGATACTTGTATATCCATGTTCATTGCTATTCAATTAACAATAGTCAGGAAATGGAAAGAGCCTGGATATCCATCAGCTGAAGAATGGATAATGAAAATGTGGTACATTCACACAATGGAGTATTATTCACCTGTAAAGAAAAATGAAATTGTCAAATTTACAGGTAAATGGAAAGAGCTGGAAATATTCATTCTTACTCAGGTGACCTAGACCCATAAATACAAATATTTCTAGTTCTCTCTCACATGTGAATATAACTTTGAATCTTTAGATTTCTATTTTTAAATTGTAGTATCCATATAGATCAGGAAACTAGGCAAGGGCCAGCAAGGGAAGGCAGATTTTAAGGGAAGTAGGATAGATTGTAGGTGAAAAGAAAACAGGACTAATTGAGTAAGAAGGGTTAAGTAAGGGTAAGGATGGAAGGGTCAAATAGAGAAGGGAATATGGGAAGTAATTACTAACACTAAATGTATCTGAAAAAGCCATATGGAAACTTGTTACTATAGAAGATTTCAAAAATATACATACATACATACATACATACATACATACAAAAATACATGAGTTCAAATGGAGTTCCCTCTGCAATAGAGTGACATTGCCGCTACCAAACACTCCAGGCTAATAAAGTCCAGTGCCAGGAATGAGTTACCTCTTTTGGAGCTGTTGGCTCCATAGACCTCCAAACATTATAGGCTATTGCCAATGTTGTTGGCAGTTATTCTACATAAGTTGATGGTAAGACCCTATTACTGAAGTATCTTGAGTCATAAAACATAGGGAGATCAAGCTGACACTGACCTGGCTAATAAAAATAGAGGTGGGGAAGAAAGAAAAAAAAAACTGTTTTACCCCCATTGACAAGATTTCACAGTACTGTAAGGTTATATGCATGCTATTGGGAGAGACAAGCTAACAGTCTTATGCAGCAGCTGTGAACCCTGTGAGCTATGATAATGGTTGGCATGGATGGTAAGGTACTCCCAATCACTTTATGCTTGTGTTTAAAGCCCACTTCACAGGCTAGAACTCATACCTGTTATGGGGCCAAAACCCCATGGGTGCTTAAGTCAGTGGGAAGAACCTAATACTACTGCTTTCCAAAATGGACACAGAAATAAACTGCCCCCTTAATTTCTTACCATTTTACCCACAAAATAGGACATCTTTCAACCCTCATCCGAGAAGCTTCTTTTTGCAATAGACTCACTAGTAAATGCACAGAAATAAGAGACAATGAAGTACTCAGCTCTGAGATATCTGTAGCACATCCCCTCTACAGTTCCAGGAGATCCTATGCCCACTTTTGGCTTCTGTGGGTTCACCACATACATGCTTCACAGATATATATGCAGACAAAACATCCATATACATAAAGCAAAAATAAATCTCTTAATAATATATAAACTTTAAAAAGAGGGTCATTAAGAGCTGTTATACCAATGTACATTATTAATGTGGTTGTAATGCTTTAAAAATGTGTAAGATACGTTTTCCAGCAGTGAAACAGCATTGGAATGAGCACTGGAATTAACATAAGGTCACTGATTACGTAAAGAAAGAAAGAAAGAAAGAAAGAAAGAAAGAAAGAAAGAAAGAAGGAAGGAAGGAAGGAAGGAAGGAAGGAAGGAAGGAAGGAAGGAAGGAAGAAAGAAAGAAAGAAAGAAAGAAAGAAAGAAAGGAAGGAAGAAAGAAAGCAAGCTGAAATAAACCCATCCCTAAGGCAAAGAGGTTTTCAACAGGAACAGCTAGCATTCTTGTGCGCGAGTGCTGCGGTTGGTTAAGAAGCTGCTCTGGGACAGGAAAGCTGTATCATCGTGCCAGGCCCGTCCTCTTTTTCTGCCAAGGGACTGGAAATATCTGCCCCACCTACCGGAAGCCAGCTGCGGAAGACTGACGCCTAATCCTTCCTCCCGTGATCTGCAGCTGTGTCCTCGCGATACTAGTTGCCCCGAAATGGCCGCGACCAGTCAAGGTAAACACAGGAGCGCGCCCGTAGAAGGATAAGGGTAACACCACCTTCCTGGCTTAGGATGAGGGATGGGCGAGGGCCTGCTGCATTATTCCTGCCCTGGAGAGCCTCAGTAGCGCCCAGACAGGGCGACTCGAAGATTTTTCTGGTGGGTGCTCTGGGGGCTAGCCAAGGTCATGCTCTGGCATGCAAAGCTGTCCTGGGATGTTACCTTAGTTCTTTCTAGCACCGCCCCTACCGAGATGTCCTATGGAAATTCAGTTCCTGTTTTCAAGCTATTTAACTCCCAGACGTGATTCTGGCATGCCTGACAGTTCTCATTTTTGTTGATTCTTTCTTCTTTCCTAAATGTTTTACCGATGTGTGTGTGTGTGTGTGTGTGTGTGTGTGTGTGTGTGTGTGTGTGTGTGTGTGTGTGTGTGTGTGTGTGTGTGTTTTGTTTGTTGGGTTTTTTTTTATTTTAATAGTAGCAGGTATATGATAGTACTTTTAGTAAGCCGACTCAAAAAGAAAACTCCAGTGGAGCGCTTAATATATGCTTCTTACTCTAATTTGGTTAACGTTAAGTTAGTCAGTTCATTAAATTTAGGTCGTAACCAGCACATGCGATACACTTGCGAAGAGAGTACTTACGAATTTCTGAGAAATCTTGAGTCTTACATAAATTGTCGTGCTTATAGTAATTATGTTTTCCTGGGCCCATAGACAAGCCTTGTAAATTTTGTTTAGCAGTGTTTAATGAGCGACTGATGAAATTGTGTGGGCTAGAGGGCACTCTGATTTTTATTCACCACACCCCACCCATAATCTGTAGACCAGTCTGGTCTCAAATTTAGCAATCTTCCTGCCTCAGCCTCAGTGTTAGCATTACAGGTCCGTGGTAGTACACATAATTTAATCTCACTTTTGACTGGAGCCATCTGTTGAGTGAATGGGGTTGCTAAAATTACATAAAAATAATCTTTTATTTTCTTCAACATAGTGGTGATATTTTACTGTTTACATAGATTGTTTTATTGTGTATGGTGTAAGGTAGACCTTTTCTTTAAACAAACAAAAAATGAATATTTACTGCTTCTAACACAACTGATAACACTTGCTTTCTACTATAGAATTGCTTTGCTGTACCTTGTTAGGAAAATGATATAATAGTATGACTAAATCGATTTCCAGACTTTGTCTTCAACTAGTATTTCTGTGTATACTTGGGTCAGTGTAACACCTTATTGAATAATGAAACTTTACAAATCTTTAAACTAAGTGGCTCTATATTATGCTGTAGTTTTCTAAGTGTTGAATGTCCTTAAACTTTCTCCCTAAGATTATTGTGACCACGTATCATATAGAAGATTGTATTTTCCCACATGGACTGTTTTAAGTGGGAATTTAATATTCTATCTTTCTTCCTGAATCTGGATGGGAACTACTGTATCCCAATCTGATGATAGTAAAACTGTATGGCTTCTGAGACCAGGACTTAAAATGATGATACACTTTTGTGTTTGTTTGTTTGTTTTGTTTTGTTTATTTCTAGGTCCTTGATCTTTCCTCCACTTGAGAGGAACCTAACTATTATGGTATTAAGGAAGCCCCCTCTAGTCTCTGAGAGAAGTAGTCTATACATGTGACTGTAGACTTCTCAGATTATTCCAGACCCTGCCCTATAAGTTTTCTAGCTAAATCCTCAGATATCACAGAATAACACAGAAGCCTTAATGCTGTGACTGAGTTTCATATGCAAAGAACTGGAGACTATAGACAAAATAGCTTTGTTTCATGATGTCTGGATGGGCAGTTTGTTGTATAGCTGTTGTAACTAGAACATTATTGTTGTTCCTTTGCCTGTCTATATAAATTTTAGGGTCCCTTAACGCAGTGGTTCTCAACCTTCTGTGACCCTTTATACAGTTCCTCATGTTGTAGTGACCCCAACCATAAAATTATTTTTATTACTATTTCATAACTGTAATTTTTCTACTGTTATGAATTGCAATGTAGATGTCTAATATGCAGGACATCTGATGTGTGACCCTTCCCAAAGGGGTTGCCACCCACAGGTTGAGAACCTTTGCCTTAATCTATAATGACCATTTTTTGTTAAGAATTATATTATAAAGACAATGAACACCTTAATATTGAAACTTAGGCCAAAGTATATCTCATAGGCTTGGCTTTCTTAATCTCCATAAATTTGGGAGGGGGTGTTCCATAGTTTACCATTTTTCTTTTGCCTGCTGATAATTTAGAAATCACTTGTTTAATTTTATGAATATTTTAAGTTTTACAAGCTAATTTAGTTATTTTTTATACAATTACATTCATTTATATATCAATCTGGATTCTCATTCAAGTACCCTTCATTCCCTTGTTCATTTTTAGAGTCCCACTTGGCATTTTGTTCTTGTTGTTTTCGAGACAGGGTCTCTCTGTGTAACAGCCGGGGCTGTTCTGGCACTCATTCTGTAAACCAGGCTGGCCTTGAACTCACAGAGATCCACCTGCCCTCTGCCTCCCTAGTTCTGGGTTAAAGGTGTGTGCCACTATCACCTGGTCCACTTGGAATTTCTTGCTTGAGTCACATCAGCATGCTTCTTGAATGTTACTTCTCTCCTATTCCAGTATTTTTCAAATGACAATTCTTGGCTTTTTCTTTTGTTTGTACAGTTTTGGATAGTAAGCTTTTGACATTTGTTGTCTCAATGTAGTATGTTTCCAGGAAAGAAGGGCTGGACATAGTAGGTAAATCCAAAATGATCTCTGTACAAACAAGGGGATTGCCGGGAGGCAATGATAGGGGGATCTTTGTGAGTTTGAGGCCAGTGTGGTCTACAGAGCAAGTTCCAGGACAGGCTCCAAAACAATACAGAGAAACCCTGTCTTGAAAAACCACAAAAAACAAAACAAAACATCCCCCCCCCCACTAAAAAAAAGTGGATTAGATATTTTGTTGGCTTGTTTTTCTTTCCTGGTTTAAGCATTACATTCTAAAGCTTGTTTCCTGATTACAAAATGGGATTAATAAGTGGTACCTACCTTTTTCTGTGCATTTAATTAGTTTGTTATTGAGCATATTGTCTAGTAAATTAGTAAGCATGCAGTTAATCATTGTTTGCTTTATTTTCTGGACATCCACATAATACATAAAATTGGTTTGTAGGTGGCTCCTAAAGAGGTAAATTTAAAAATACATATTTAGAATGCTTTTATCCAATAGTACTTGTTTTACCTAGGTCAGTTTAATTATTTTAAGTTTGAGAGGAAGAACAATAGAAGATCAATATAGATATTCAAGTTTCTTTATTTTAGTCAGATTTCCCAAAATTCCAATGATAATTTACTATTTAAAGTAGAATATTTGTGTATTCTGTATTATAATTGTTTGCTTAAAAATCTATTAATCTAGTTAAGAATGGCAGTAATATACTATAAATGTAAATATTTTCTTATCTTAGTCTTTAGTTTTTATTGGTATATATTAATCATAAATAATGATACATTTTATTATGACTTTTCATATATCTATATAATGTTTTGATTATATTTACACACCACAACCCCTTTTTGTCTTTCCCTATTCCTTGTGATCCCCACCCTTTTCCAAAGTAGTCCCCCTTCAATTGTTATGTCTTGTCTTTACTATACTTTGTTTTTGATGACCCAATGAGTTTCATTAGGGTTGTTTACAGGAATATGGCTGACAGTTTATTTACTAGAGCATAGGCACCTTACCATTGGCTGTACCACTGAAGACAATGTCTCTTCATTCCCCAGGAAACAATTAACTTCATGTCTTAATCCTCTTATAGGAAACTTTGATGGAAAATTTGAGGCACTGGATCTTGCAGAATTGACTAAAAAGCAACCATGGTGGCGTAAACTGTTTGGGCAGGAATCTGGGCCATCAGCTGAAAAGTATAGTGTAGCAACCCAGCTGTTAATTGGAGGTGTTACTGGATGGTAAGTGGTATTAAAGATTTTCAGTTCTTTTGTGCCTGGTTTAATAATTAATTAAAACATATTGACTTCACTGAAATTGGTCAGCACATGTAGTGAACCATCAAATTAAAGCAATATTTGATATTTATGTCAGGACCAAAGGACACGTCAGTCCCCCAAATTCCAAAAGGTAGTCCAAATATCCAGAAATGAACTCACCTGAACTGTAGAAGGATTTCTAGTGGTTAAATAAAGGCCAGCATTCCTCAAGAACTCATGAAGTAGGTTTCTCTTCTGCCAAAAGAGCTCATTTCCCTTACTTCTAGCAAAAGAGACATATGACTCTCTAATTAACATATCTCAGTGGCACCTATCAACATATTAAGGTCCATGCTAGCCTCCAGGCTCCCTCAGTCCTTTACTCAAAAGTACATAGTATACTTTTCAAAGCCCTGACCTCAATCTCCTGCCCCCTCTCACCCCCAGCTACTCACCCTTTTTATAATGTGGCTATTCTAACTATTCTCTCCTCTTGCTGTTCTTACAATGCTCTCTCTATTTTCTATCCCCTGCTATTCTCCTCTCTCCAGATAGCCATAGCCATGTCCAGTATGCTGGACATGTTTAATATACTCCTCTTTCTGTTCTAGACTCTTGCAGATACCTCTGGCTGTACATTCTCTCATATCTACAATAAATACTGTACCCTTAACTATACCATGGAATGGTCATGTCTGATGCCAAAACCCTTGCCACAAGTCAGGTACTTGTTAGAAGTCAGGCACTATTTTTAGTTTATATATAGATAATCTAATTTCCTTCTTAAAATGACTCTGAACTTGGTACTTTTAATATCTATATTTTTTGTAGAAACTGAGGCTCAGAACGTATATCTAGAATCTAGATTCTAGATCAAGGCAACACAGCAAGTGATGGATTAAGAAGATATTAGCTGTATCATATATTAATATGGAAGTTTTCTGTAACAGTATGGTTTTTCTGCCTGCCGCCGCCCGGTCTTGTCCTGCCACTGCGCCAGCCCCAAATAACACACAGAGACTCTGTATTTGATACAATGCTATTGGCCAGGTACTAGTTTCTTATTGGCTAGCTCTGCCTTAGTTATTAACCCATTTGTGTTAATCTATGTATGTCCACGCGTTCTTCTTACCGGGAGCCTGCAGCCGCATACTGCTCTCTCCAGACTCTCCATCTTGACTCCTCCCTACTACTTCCTATTTCCTCCTTGTCTCCTAGTCCCTCCTATCTTCCTTTCCTATTGGCCAACAGTGCTTTATTATTAACCAGTATGAGAAACATACAGAATGACATCTCCCATCAGTTTTCTTTTTTTATTTAGAGAATACTTTATTAATTTTTGCAGTCAAACCTACATAGATAAGACCTTACATATTTAATATAGTGCATTACCCCTGTACAAATGGGAAAAAAAATTAAGTTCAACATTTCTAGACCAACATGGCTGTTAATTTCTGTGCAATGCCAACTCAACATGGTAAACTGGGATACTTTTTTTCCAAAGTTGACAGCACAGCTAAAGTTTCCAAAAATTCAAATTTTATATATATATATATATATATATATATATATATATATATGCAGTATGTTATGCATCAATAGCAGCGACAGCTTTTCCAGGTTCTGCAGTCATTTGAACGAAATTGTAGAGACATCCAGCACTTTTCTTTTAAAGTAAAAAGCAAAATCCCAGAAAGCAGCAGAGTTCTGTTACTCTTGTGGTACTTGGCACCATTTGTTTTGTTGTATTTTTAAATTAGCTTCTCAATCACCATCTGGAAAGAAAATATTCTAAGCAACATCATTAAAAACATCTCTGATAAAGCACAGTCACTACTATATATCATAAAGCTGGTACAAGTTATTTTACATTCACAGAGGTATGATGCAGCACTGTCCTACATCTATGATACTAGAGGATACAATTAGAAGGCATAATTTGAGACTTGATTCTACTTTCCAGTAGAGGTCCCAAAAGATGGTGTGACACAGATCTGTAAAGAAACATACTCTTAGATAGGATTTCCTTTCACTAGTGGAACACTTCTAAGGATTCATTCTCTCAATGAACATCAGCAAAAACACATTATTAATAAAATTAAAGAATACCCCTAAAAGAAAACCCTATATCCACTGGATTCATATGAAGATGACCTAGTGGTGACAAGCAAGACCTCACTTTACCAACACATCATCAAATCTGTTTAAACGGTGAAACCTCCAAGGAAGGAAGGGGATGCCAAGTAGTGCTTCAAATCTTCAGACCATAATGAAGAAGTTTTCATTTGTTGATATGTTTATCATGCTAGTAACCAGTTTGGTGAATAAATAAACAATCCATCAATCTTATAAACTCCATTTGAAAAATCTTATTCTAATACAAATATACAGAACAATTATCTATAAGGAATAGTTGGAGACTTAAACTCCCATTTAACAACCACTGAGGCTGAAAATTATAGCTAGTATCCCCCAGAACTCTGAAAGCTGTTGGGAGTTGTTTCTTTGTTTTTCTAAATACTTTTAATAATTTATTGTAGTTAATCTAGTTTTGAACTTTGAATAAATACAATCATTAATTCTTTTGATTCTTGGATTTTTCATTTTTTTTTGTATTCTTATTGTCATTTTTATTTAGAATTCCATTATATGAATATACCATAGTATATTTTTGTTCAGTTGATTCTGATATTGACCTTCATCAATTTTTGAGTAATATAAACAATGCTAATATGAATTTTTTGTGACAGGGTTTCTCTGTATAGTCCTTGCTCTCCTGGAACTATCTCTGTGGACCACACTGTCCTTGAACTCAGAGATTCACCTACCTCTGTCTCCTGAGTACTGGAATTAACCTAGCAATATAAAATTCTTGTATTTTTCAACTTGTGATCTTTTTTTTGCATTTTCCATAATAGTAAAAACTGAAAAGTTTTACATGTATTTATTTACCACTTAGATTTGTCTTTTATTAAATTCCATGATTTTCGCCCTGTGAAGGGGTCATTTTTTGTAGTATTGAGTTTTAAGAGAATTTTTTGTGTGTTTTGGTTTTGTTTTGTAATGGTGTCTATGGCTCAGCATGGTCCAGAGCATGTTATGATCTTTCCTGTCTCTCAAGTGGTGTTGTATACCACCACGCTTGGAGTATAGTCAGCCATAGTATTTATTGGCAGTGAAACAATGTAAATGAAAGCAGATGTTTATATAAAAAAAATTTGACACGAATATTCCTAGTTTAATTTGTAACACCCGAAAGTAGAAACAATCTAAACATACACAAAAAGGGAATGGAATAGGTCATTTTTCAATCCTGTGCCTTTATTCTTGTATTAAAAATCAGTTTACGATCTGTGAATTAAATTTATCTGCATTTTGGACAGCAAAATAGCTTAGTGGGTAAAGGCACTTACCATCAAGCCTGAGGACCATCAGGGACCATGGTAGAAGAAAAGATCTGACTTGTACAGGTTGTTCTCTAACTTCTACATGTATGCCATAGCAAGCTACACACATACCCCAGTCTGGTATTATATTGATCACTATCACTTTATTTTGTTTTTTTCAGCTTTGACATGAGATAAATATATCACAATATGTGATCAACATAGATTCTTAAATACCTATAAATATTTCATATTTTGATGCTATTGTAGCTTAAATTTTTCATTTTCCTATTATGTATTACGTGTATATAGAAATACAATTTCCTAAAGTCATTTATTGAGTTGCCAAATATGGGAGTCCTCAAGACATTCTTGTTTTTCCCCCTACCTCCCCTCCTCCCATTCCCCCCACTCCTCTTCTGTCTCTGGTAGAATTACTCTTGTATAGGGGTTGCCTATGATCATTGGAAAACATAAATATTTACATTATAATTCATGACAGCAAAATTACAGGTATGAAGTAGCAATGAATAATTTTATGGTTGGGGTCAGTACAACATGACAAACTGTGTTAAAGAATCACAGCATCAGGAAGGTTGACAACCATTGTCTGGGAAGATTCATAGAACTTTGTAACAAAATCAGGCAAAAAAGAAGCAAGAGCATCAGCCAGCAGAAGAAGAACATGAATGGGTTTACCACTTATCTTTTATGGAGTCTTTTGTTTAAAGTAGGTTTCTTATACATAGCATATAGATAGATTTTATTCTTTTAAAGCACCCAGTTTTATATGGCTTCTGTGGATTTGAACTCAAGTCCTCACGTGTGTACAGCAAGTACTTTCCTCACTAAACTATCTTCTCAGTCTGAATTTTTTAAAAATCCAGTTCAAAATTTCTTCCTTTTGAATAGAGTACTTAGATTATTGGATATAATGTTTTAAGGCAGGGTCTGTTTACATATCCCTGGCTGTCTGGAACTTTCTATGTAAACCATGCTGGCCTCAAACTCAAGAGAGCTACCTGCCTCTGCCTTCTGAGTGCTGGGATCAAAGATGTTCCCCACTATGCCCAGCTTGCATATATTTTTAATTGTCAAGCTTCATATGGTGGTACATGTGTGCATTCTTAGTATATGTGAGGGTGCAGTAAAGAAACCACTGAAATGGCCACTCTATGGTTGTGGGTGGGGGAGATTTTTTATTGTGGATAAGAAAGAAAGAACACCTAAAGCTATCTGAAAAAGTCTAGAGCCAAGAGAAAAAGAAGCAGATAAGACATGGCCATACATGCAGGAGAAGGGAGAATAACAGGGAATAGCAAGAGAGAATAGTGGAAATGGCAGGGAGAGAATATAGAACAGTGGAAATAGTGAGAACAGGGGGAAAATCCTGGCCTATATACAAAACAAAGGGATGACAGGGAGGAGGGAAACCTGTTAACTGATATAACCTGGTGGTTTAGGGTAGAAGGGGAGGTGAGATGGGCCAGGATGCTAGCTAGTATGGACTTAGAAATGTATAATGTGTACTTAGGAACAGGGACTGTAGGAGCCTGAAGGCTAGCATGGCCTTCCTTTTCTGAAGATGGTAAAAAGAAGCTAGATCATCTCAAGGTTATAATGTGAACATTTCAGAAGTTCTGGTTTATATGGATCTGCCAGCCTGCCACTTTGATATTGATTTGGTTTCACAGGTGCACTGGTTTCATATTCCAGAAGGTTGGGAAACTGGCTGCAACAGCTGTAGGAGGTGGATTCTTTCTACTTCAGGTTTGTCTACTCGGTTTCCTAGATGTTTGGAAAGTCTACTTGCCCATTAACATATTGTGAGAAATTGTAGCCTTGGCTATAATGCCCTAATATAGTATATGCTTTTGTTTTGTGTACTATTTTGAATGCTACTAACCACTTAAGTGAGATCTTAATCACTAGTCTCATTTTATTTCACCTATATAAGAGTGAGTGCCACCATGTTGGTGCTGAGAACTAAACCTGGATTCTCTGGAAGAACAGTCAGTGCACTTAACCACAGAGACATCTCTGCAGCTTAAGTGTTTTTCCTTTTCTCATTGATTTCTATAAGAATTTCACTGATTATGAGTGATAATGTTTTACTTATGATATATACATATTTCTCCAGTTTCTATATATATATATATCCAGAAAAGATTCTAGTTAGAAAGATGGATTGTTTCAGTTTCAGATATGATATCAAAAATTTTATAGGAAAGAAAAAACAATATTGATGGAGGAGTGATTGATGGGCTGTAGTCATTCTCTTTATTAGTTGGATAGCCCTAATTTATCATAAACAACATACTTAAATCAATTTTATCCACAATTCTTTGAAAAACTTTTTAATTTAAAATTTTTATTTTTTGAAAATTTTAACTACTTTGCCTTTTATTTTACCATCTTATTTTTAAATCTTAGTTAAAAGTTTGTAAAAAAAAAAAAGAGAGAGAGAGAGAGAGTTCAGCATATACATTAAAGGATTGCCAGCAATTGAGGACAGTTGTTTATTTCCATTACCAAGCACGAAACCTTGAATATAGTATGAACATTTTGCCTGAAGTTCATCAAAAAATCCAAATAGCAAATGTCTCAGAAAATAGAAAGAATAATTTTGATTACCTGTTTCATGATCTATCTTGACAAAAAGAAATACCAAAAACCATGTTTCTCATTTCTTTTTATCACTGTTAAAATTGTAGCTGGCAAACCATACTGGGTACATCAAAGTTGACTGGCAGCGAGTAGAGAAAGACATGAAAAAAGCCAAAGAGCAGTTGAAGATTCGTAAGCATAACCAAATACCAACTGATGTCAAGAGCAAAGCTGAGGAGGTAAGACTTGCCTCGTTCAGGTTTAGTATATGAAAAGTACATGCAGTTTTGTGTACAAAGTGGGATACATAACCGTCTCAGCAGTATACAAACCTTTATGATTACAAAGAACTGGGATCAGTGAGACAAAAACTGTATTCTCTATGTCAGTCTTAGAATAACATTTCTGTAGAAACAATTTGCAGGGGACAAAGTCTTAAATTCCTGTCTCAACTTTTTGAGTGCTAAGATAGCAAGCATGTGATACCTCACTCAGCTCATGAAGACTTGTTTTTATTAAAAAAAAAAAACAACTTTTTTTTTATGTGTATGGGTGTTGTGCCTACATGTTTATCTGTATACCATGTTCATACCTGGTGCTTGTATGTGTTGTTAGAGTTTCTTTCCCACCAGGTCCCACAGCCAAGAAACATATATACAGAAGGACATCCCCTATTATGTAGGGGTGAGAGGAGGGCATCAATTCCCCTGGAACTGGAGTTAAAGATGGTTGTAAGCTGCCATGTGGGTGTTGGGAATTGAACCAAAGTCCTCTAGAAGAGCACTTAACTACTGAACTGTCTCTCCAGTCTCTTGTACATCTTAATAATCAAAATATTTGGTGTAGAATACAAAGTAAATACGGTAGTTGTGTTAACTAGTTCTGTGTTTTCATTTTTTTTTTCTTTGAGACAGGGTTTCTCTGTCTAACAGCCCTAACTGTTCTGGAACTTACTTTGTAGACTAGGCTGCCTTGAACTCACAGAGATCTGCTTATCTCTGCCTTCCAAGTGCTGTGATTAAAGGCATGCACCACCACAGCCTGGCATGTTAACTAATCTTTATAGGAACAGGGGTACCATGGTGGGTGGGGTATACTGCCATTATGAACATTTTGAGTTGCGTTTTATCTCTATGCCTGCTTATCTTTGACATATCTGAACTTTATTTGTCCTGGGCTTAGAAATGCTTAGATGATAAGTTGGTTAACTTTTTCTGAAGATAACCAGATGGTAAATATTTTTGGTTTTTGAGTTATGGTCTCTCACAACAATGAGACTTACTCATATAGAGTGAAAATAGCCATAGATGATATGTGACCTCTATACATATAAATGTACACTCATATATACATATTTCCTCAGATACACATATAAAAAATGTAAGTGAATTTTTCCCCCCTCTGGTAGTACTTTGTTTAAATAAATGTGGAAGTTCTGGAAAGTTAAGGACTGCAGTGGAAGAGAAGCAGGGAGACATAATATCCTAGCTTCATTTTTGTTTCTGGGATGAAATATTCTTACCAAAAGCAATTTAAGGGAGGAAAGTGTTTATTCAGCTTACAGTTCCAGGTTCAGGCCATTATTGAGAAGTCAAGGTAGGAACTTGGGCAGCTAATCACATTAATCCTAAATGGAGAGCACAAAGAAACAAATGGATCTTTTTTTGTCTACTTACTGTCCCACACAGCATTACCTCTGACTAAGAAACTTAATTCACAGCCAAAGACCATGTGACAAGAACCACAAAGAATACTGTTTGCTGGTAGACAGGCTTATGCTCAGCCTGCTTCCTTACACAGTTCACGATCACCTGCCTAGGGAATGATGCTGCCCACAGTATGGTGGGCCCTCCTACATTACTTAACAATGAAGACAGTCCCCTACACATGCCCAGATCAATATGATCTAGGCCAATGGTTCTCAACATTCCTAATGGTGCCACCCTTTTAATAGAGTCCTCATGTTGTGATCCCTAACCATATAATTATTTTTGTTGCTACTTCATAACTAATTTTGTTACTGTTATAAATCTTAATGTAAATATCTCATGGTCTTGAACAATTCATGACCCACAGGTTGAGAAACACTGATCTAGGCAATTTTTCAATTGAGATTCTCTTCTCAGATAATTGTAGGTTGTGTCAAGTTGATAGTTAAAGCTAACCAGGACCTAGAGGTAGTGAAGAGACACTGTGGACTTTGCAAGGTGCAAGGAGGATAGACAGAGGGATGTAATGGTACAAATGGATAACTCAGTTGGAAAACTGAAGACACTGTGCTTAAGTTCAAGAAATGATTTGTTCAGGCCTATGGATATGACTAAGTTGGTAAAGTCATTGCCATGCAAGTCTAAAGACCAGAGTTTTGGATCATCAGCACTCATGTAAATGCCAGATGGGTATGGTAGCCTGCCTTCAGTCCCAGGGCAATTGCAAAAATCACCAGACTAGCCTAAATGGTAATCTCTAGGTCCATCTAGAGTATCTGCCTCATTATACAAGGTGGAAGTGAGCTAGGAAGAAGTCTATCAATCTTATCTTGGCCCTTCACATGTATGTGTTCATACACATGCATGTACAACAAATGTACACATGCACACACACACACACACACACACACACACACACACACACACACCATCACATAATGCAAAAACAAAAAGAAATGATTAGGCCAGAATGTAAGATATATTATTTCACATTTACGTTGTAAGGAGAGATAATAAGTTAGCGAAAGAACCATATAGGATGCCTATCCATATATGTGTCAAACTCCAGATGAGTAGAAACTTTTGCAGGAAGGTATAGGGGAGGTGAGAGTTTTGGAAAATAAGGAAATAAGAGCTTATCTACAGTCACCAGTAATAAATGATCAACATCCTTAGCAAAATTACTCATTGTATCAAAATCTTATGTTTTTTTTTTTTTTTTTAGGTTGTGTCATTTGTAAAGAAGAATGTTCTAGTGACTGGAGGATTTTTTGGAGGCTTTTTACTCGGCATGGCATCCTAAGAAATAAAACTTCACTTAATTGTTTCTTTTTTCTTTGCCAGCAGCTTCAACACACAAACATAAGACAATTGATACTCCTCTTCCTCCTCTTCTCCTGTGCCTACCTCCCTGTTGTACTGAATGGCCTCCATAGGCCTTTTATGAGCTTCAGATGTTGGAAAAGACAATAGATGTTAACTCTCCCAGTATAATCCTTACTACTTTGTCAATGAGTAGCTTGGTAAGAATGTTCCCTTTCCCCTATGTAAGATCCTTTTCCAAACTTCATTTGAAAGCAGCACATAGTTACCTTAGTATGTGTTACATTAAAAGGAACTGAATACACTTGCAGTTAAGCATGAAAGATTTTGTTTCTTGGTGTGTGCTTTCTTTTTTAGTTGATTTTAAATTATAGAAAGAGAGCTCATCCTTCCTGAGAAGTGGATGGGGAATAGGATGGGGGTTGGTGGGGATAATGGGAGGATGGGAGGGAAAGGGAACTTGGATTGGTATGTAAAATTAGATATATTAATTTAAATAAAAATTCATTTAAAAAGAAAGAGAATATTTATACTTGCTATAATTATCCTGCCAAAATGACAATATAAGTAACTATAACAAAAATGATTGACTGTGAAATCAACTTCTGATAAAGAAATATGAAGTAATGTAGGTATTGTATTTGGTAGGTGGGACTTTATAGAAACCAACTGCTAGAAATTCATTGTTGGATGGTTGGATGAGTCATTTGTAGGTATTAAAATCCAATCTGGAAATGTTTTCCACCATTACTATATACTGTGGTGTTATTTATGATTTAATAAACATTGCCTGAAATATCAGAAAGCAAAGGCAACTACACAAGTTATCTGTAGAAGCTAGGTAGTGGTGGCACACTACTTTAATCCCAGGACTCGAGACAGGCAGATGGATCTCTCTGAGTTCAAGGCCACCATGGCCTACACAAAAGTGAAGAGTATCAGAGCTCACGATTTTGATCCCAGCACCTGGGATCACACACCTTTAATCCTAGCCCTAGGGAGGTGGGAACAGAAGGATGTGGCTGGGTAGAGAAAGGAATATAAGGAAGAGGAGACAGGAATACAGAGCTTTTTGCCTCAGAGGATTTGTGGAGACAGGGTTGACATTTCAGCTTAGTAGAGGTAAGTAGGATCTACTGGCTTGGCTACTTTGCTTCTCTGTTCTTTAGCTTGAAGCTTGAAACCCAGTATCAATCTGAAGGTTTTTATTTTTGTGTTACAGCAATGCATCTCATGGTTGTTTTCAAGTGATTTAGGTGGGAGAAGGGAGAAACTAGCATTTAGAAAGGTTTCTCTGCTTTGAAATTTGAAGTATTCTTCACATTTGTTAAAATATTAGGAGTAGCAGTATTTATGGAAATACTGTTTCTATATCCATTTAGTATGAAATATAACATATAAGCCCAAATTTTAAAGAGATGTTGCAGGCATTCAGAATTTAGAAAGACAATGATATCATATATGAAATAAATTATTTACATCAAATGTAATCTCTATCAGAATTGTTCTTTAAAATAAAAGTCTGTGTACACTTCAGCTCTCCTTTCTATTGCCAGTGCCTCTTTTCACTTTATGCTGCATCAAAACTGTCTACAATTTACTGAGTTACATTATAAGGAAGAAAAGTGTATTATAGCAAAATGGAAAGGGGGATATTTTTGCCATCATTACATGCTGAAATTACTGAATAAAAGGCTGTAGATTAATAGAATGCTCACTTGCTCTCTAAATGTCACCCTACAATTGATTTTCCCATTGCTATTGAAAAGTAACTTCCTTGTTAAGGTCTATCAATCACTAACTAAGTGATTAAACTTAGCATTACTAATAGCTACTTGGAGGGAGGGGTTTGTACTTCTAAAATGAGACATGGGATAATAGTTGTCACAAGAGTTTTATCAGAAAGCTATGTTTCAGTGTTAGTCTTGGTCAGTGTTACATAAAAAGTACTCTGTAATGGTTAAGCCTTCTCTGGTGGCTATTTATTTTTTCTGTATGTCATAATAGCTAAAGAGAATAAGGTTTAAATCAATATGTTTCAATAGATCTAATGACTTTAACTAAGACAGGATAGTTTAAAGAAATGAACAAATACTTGGAAAGCTTTTGAAATTCAAAATAAGGCAGTATAATTTAGAAAAGAAAAATTTTAAATGTTTTAAAGTTTGATTATGCATAACTAATAAAACAGAAAAAACAATTATTTGATTTTGTGAGTCTAAGCAATCATTATCAATTTAGATTCATAGGTAATGTAAATATTATAATTGTAAAGTACATTATTAAAATGATTTTACTGTTACTGAGAATTTACCTAAATTACTTCATGGGAATTTAGAATTGTTACCTTCCTTTGTGGACCAAATATCTCTCAGGCAGCCTAGTCTCAGACAGTCTCTTTGGAGGAAAATCACTCCAAGAAATACTTGTCTACAAAAGAGGTTCAATTTGGCAACAGGATAATATTACAGAGAATTGTACCTCATATTAACATATAAAAAAAAACTAAACTCTTGTGAGTAATCACGTACATGTGTCCAGGCTAGCATTATTCAAGTTTTTAAGCATAGAAGAAGCCTTTTTATTTCATTGTTACAGTGATTCCTAGAATGCTTTTGAAAAAAAAAATGTTGCTTTGACAAAGAGTAGGATTGGGGAGGGGGTGTGTGGAGGATAGGTGGTGGATTGAAAAAAAAAAATGGCCTCCAAACAAAGTGGCACTATTAGAAGGTGTGGCTTTGTTGGAGGAAGTGTGTCCATGTGGGGACAGGCTTTGAGGCTTCTTATGCTCAGGATATTGCCCAGTGTGTCAGTCTTCTTCCTGTTGCCTGCAAGATATAGCACTCTTAGCTCTAGCACCACCTCAGCCTACATGCCTCCATGCTTGCCACTATGATGATAATGGACTGAACTTCTGAACCTGGAAGTGAGCCACTCCAATTAAATATTTCCTTTTATAAAAGTTCCCATGATGTGTCTCATGACAGGAATAAAAAAAAAAAAAAAAAACCTAATTAAGACAGGGAGTTAGGCATAATTCACCAGGCTACACCATTGTGGAATGAGAACTGACTCAAGAAATTATTTAACTTCCAAATGATGGGAGACTAGGATTTGGACTCCCTGATGGGAATACAGATTGGGAGAGGGGCCAACTACTTTCTCACACTCCTGACTTGAGATAAAAGTCTGGCAGCTTAATACAAGCCTCCCCTGCTAATGGACTGGCTTTACAACTTTAAGACCTGATCAGGATGTATTCCAAATAGTTGTGAACCAATCAGTCATATTTCTTCAAAGTGACCAACCCTAAATTAGGGTAGGAAAACTTCAGAGATTTTAACATCCCAAGCAACCCCCCCCCCCAAGAGACCACTTTTGTTCTTCCTAAGGCTTCACTCTGCTTTGCAGAGGGCCTTTTCTCTGTGTGTCTGCTGCAGGTATATGTCTCCTCAACAACAATAGAAGCCTTTCTTCAACTGCTGATTCTGTCTGTGTGGGTTGAGATTTCCCCAGTGCCACCTGTTGCCCTCCAGACTTTTCCTGCCTTTTAGTTCTTTAAATAGCAGAGAAAATGAACTCATTCAGGACTCCTAGATTGTATCAATGGTATACATATGCCAGCACTCACATGTAACACACACACACACACACACACACACTTAAAAGAAAAGCTATGGGTGTCTGCTACTGTTTCCTTCAGCTACTAGATGAGGGCTCATGTTCCTCTTTTTATGACTGGGCTACCTCACTCAGGATGGTTTCTTCAAGTTCCATCTATTTGCAAATTTCAACATTCCATTGTTTTACTTTGTTTTATCCCCCCACTGAGTAGTATTCTATTGTGTAAATTTACCACATCATCATTATCCATTCTTCACTTGAGGGCCATCTAGGTTGCTTCCAGGTTCTCACATGTACCCCTCCCACGCTCCCTTCCCATCCCCCGACTCCACATATAGGGTGATGCCATCCAAGAGGGGTCATCTAAATCTGTCAAGTCATTTGAAGTAGGGAATAGGCCCTCCCTCCTGTCTCTAGGCCAAGGAAGTATCCCTCCATGGGGATGTGCCCTCAAGGTCCTTTTGTGCACCAAGTATACATCCTGGCTCCACTGTCTGAGGTCCCTTAGACTGCCCAGGCCTTCTAACTGAGACCCATGTTCAGGGGGCCTGAGTCAGTCCCATGCTGGTTTCCCAGCTATCAGTTTGGGGGGCCAGTTAGCTCCTCCTTGTTCAGGTCTGCTGTCTCTACGTGTTTCTGTAGCCTGGTCTTGTCCTCCCTCTCTCTGCACCTGGATTCCAGTGTTTAGTTCTAGACTCAGTGTTTAGTTGTGGGTGTCTGCTTCTGTTTCCAACAGCTACTAGATGAGGGCTCTATGGTGGTGGATATGTTAGTCATTAGTGTCATTATAAGGGAAGGGCATTTATGGTAGCCTTTACACTGTTACTGAAATTGTTAGTTGGAGTCAGTCTTGTAGGTCTCTAGACATTTCTTTAGGTTCAGTTTTCTCTTCAAACCAATAATGGCTCCCTCTTTTATATTCTCTCTCTCTCTCTCTCTCTCTCTCTCTCTCTCTCTCTCTCTCTCTCTGTCTCTCTTCTATTCCTCCCCTGACTCAATCTTCCTAGTCCCATGTGCTTTCCTGTCCTCCCTTTCTCTTTCCTCTGCCCTCACTGCCCCCCACTTCCCCTGTGCTCTGGGGGACTTGTTCCTTTCCCCTTCTGTGAGGGACCTTATATGAATCTCTTAGAATCCACCTTGTATCCTAGTTCCTCTGGTGGTGTGAATTATATTCTGGTGATCTTTTGCTTTAGGACTAAAATCCAAATATGAGCACACACATACAATATTCCTCTTTTTGTGAATGGGTTACCTCATTCAGGATGGTTTCTTCAAGTTCCAGCCACTTGCCTGCAAATTAAAAGATTCCATTGTATTTTTTGTTTGTTTGTTTTTTGTTTTTTTCCCCCGCAGAGTAGTATTCCATTGTGTAGATGTGCCAATCTTCTTTATCCATTCTTCAGTTCAGGAGTATCTAGGTTGCTTCCACGTTCTTGCTATTACAAATAATGCTGCTATAAACATAGTTGAGCACATGCCTTTGTTGCATGGATGTGGATCATTTGGGTATATGCCTAAGAGGGGGATTGCCAGGTCCTGTGGTAAACTAATTCCCATTTTCCAGAGGAACCGCCATACTGATCTCCAACATGGCTGTACGAGTTTGCACTCCCACCAGTGTGGGAAGCCACGCTGGCCATGTTGGCTTCGTCAGGCTTTGCCACGTCAGCTTGTTTATTGCTCTTGTATCCTAATCGTC